GTATGAAACAGACTAACTCTGCCAGCAGGGACAGTTGGCAAAGTTTAAATCTGCAAACCTCAACATCCCTCCAGTCCCAGCTGTGTGCATCACTTTTTAGTGTCCCCGTTTTCGTTGTGTTTTGAGCTTCTTGCAGCAGTTTGTAATTGCAGGGTCTCGTTCATGCAGCGCTTTAAGTAAACCCTGCACATGTTTAGTGAAGTTGGTGAATGTTTTCTAAATGCTGCGCATGTGTTGTCAAGTTGCTGAAGATGTTTCTTAATTTGCATGTGTTTTTGGAACATTTCTGTTTTTATATTCACATCGTTTCAGAATCTGCAGCACATTCCTCCTAATGGAAGTGTTTTCAGGTCGTTTTGCAAGTTGGCACCTGTCGGCCATCACACTTTACACTGTGGTATAAGTACTTTTCGTAAAGTACAAGATCTGAGAAATTCTTCCACCACCCCAACAACAATACATAATATTACTTTGAGTGCGCCATGAACCAGTGTCGTCACACTCTGTCCCAGGGGTAGTCCTCTTTTTTCTAGGAAGCTTCATACATACCCTTAATTCTCAGAAAGCCTTTCCTACTCTGAGCTTGGCTTTCAGTTCAACTTTCAGGGTGATTCCCAGGAGAGATTCTGGGATGTTTGCATCTGTAACCAGATCCAACACACATATTTTAGTCCAGCACACAATACAGTCTGTCAATTATGTCTCTTTTTTTGTGTAAAAACCTATTATACCGAAGTTCCCTCCAGAGGGAGTTTCTCTCCAACACGGTTTACCAATCGCAACAGAGCCGGCCAGCTAACCAATCAGAACAGACTGGGCTCTGGTTTCAGACAGAGGGTGAAAAGAGCTGCTGCAGCACAGGCAGTATGAGAAAAATAAAGAGCTTTATGAACATTAAAACATGTAAACATACATATGCAATACAAATATGAACCTGTAAATGAACAAAAAAAACGTTTAATGATCGAAAATGTGGCAGCCGACTCCATGAGTGAATGATGCTGTGCCTTTTGATGAGAATTATTAGGCTGCCTTTACACGGGAACGTTTGCGTTTATGCACAGTATGCGTTTTCAAAAAAGTCTTCCGTTCACATGCATTCGTTTCATTTAACGTGTCTGTTCAAACGAGACTGCTGGAAACGCTGTAGTACGTATGCCGGGACTGTAAGTGGCGCTGTACTTCCACACGAGACCGTTCGAAAGTGCTGGACACGCTGTAGTACATATGCCGGGACTGTAAGTGGCGCTGTAACTTCCGCCACAAAATACACCAAAAGCAGCGAAGAAGACCCCGGAGCAGCCCCGCAGCAATGTTGCCATGGCTACCCTTCTGTTTATGCCCCGCGGTGGATTTAGCAACATGTAGTAGTTAATGTAATTCTCCATGTCCACTTGTTGCTGATGGTTGTGGTAGAGGAGCTGTAGATTTTGCACTAACATCTGTAGCATGGTCGAGCTGTAGATGTTGTACTAACATCTGTAGCATGGCCAGTAGCTACTGTCAGTAGCTACTGGCCATGCTACAGCAGTGAGCAGGAGAGGTGGGGAGAGGCGGGGCTATCGTTATTTTTTCAGGAAATATTCGTATAGAGGCGATTACACGGACTCGTTTGACCCCCCAGAGAGTTTCGTTTGCAAATCTATCCACCTTGAGACCCGTTATCGTTTGTGGGGTCCGTTTGTTACGGCCTCGTGTAAATAATAGGGCTATACGCAAGAGAAACTATGCAGATACAAGCCGTTTCGTTCTTGTGTAAAGGGCACCTTAGACTGTTAATTTACCTTGAATTCACCAGCCAACTTCTGGTAAATGTTGGTTGTAGTTGCTACTGTGGCAGGGAGCCAGTCTCAGTTGGAGGTCAAGCTTGTGCTAACAGTCAAGTTGATATGTGATGTTTTGTATCCAATGCACCATCTCTTCCATATAATAATAATAATAATAATAATAATAATAATAATAATAATAATAATAATAATAATATTGGGAGGGATGAAACACTCTTTATGTTAACACATCTGCAGTTTCTCACGGGAGCATTTTGTCATCGGGTGCAGTTAATTGCGCCTGGATCCATACCTCTGGTGTTAACTTTGCAGTTAATCACAGCAGTAGTTTTTAATTTTGCACCTCAGGGATCCTGGCTCGCTATGCTTGTGCAGAAATTAAAGAACATTGTGCTTGCATCAAGACAGCATTCTCTAAACAACAGCTCGTACAAAAAGGGTTTGATTGTCTAACTCGTGCTGCAGATGTTGCTTTATCCTCAAGCGGTAGAAACAATCCTATTCTAGTTCACTCTAAGGTTGTCAAATCGAAAAAAAATGACCTGTTCAGGTGGAGGTTTGTATTCAAATATAAACATTTGTTCCCAGTGTTTAACATTTGGGAGTGATTTGCAGAAAGAGCTCAGGATAGATGTGAGTCTTCCAGGATGTTTTTCAAGAGATTGGTACATTACTGCCAGAAGGAGCATTGGTCACATCTGAATAGAGAGATAAACACTTGACTAATATTCATATTAACCAATAAGCCCGTCAGTATAAGTATCTCAATCTCCCACATGTCTCACTCAACATCCTTCCCACTCTTATTTTTGCACACAGCTCCATTTTTTCTCTCTCTATAGCAGAGAAGACGAGGGAGACGGTGAGATGAGTGGCAGATGAAAATAAAATGGATGGGAGAGAGAAAATGAAGCTGTAAGGAAGAAAGGAGACAGAAGAAGAGAGTGACGAGAGGTAGTGTAGTGGGAATAAAGAGACAGAGATACTTAGAACAGTATGTCCTGGCTTACTGACAGTCTTATTGGCAATTAAGTCTAAAGTCTCACCACATTCTTTTTGTTTCTATAACGTCCCTTTTCCCCTCCCTTTTGTATCTCTATTCTTTTCTCCTTTGCTTTTCCATTATATTTGTCTTCCTCTTTCTCCTATTGTTAATCAGATCCTTCAGTCACACAAGTACTTTATATACTTACTGCATTCACATAATGAATGGAGCAATCACTGTATAATCATGTGTGCGAGCAACCAGGCATATTGTTTGACAAGAGGCTGCCCTGGTAACCAAAAGGAGATGGAAATAAGAATGACATTTTCAGGTTCATACGTGTTTTGGGTTCTACATGCTCTGATTTATTTCGTATCTGCTCTCTCTGCGTTTCAGCACCATCATTGCAGCTGCAATGACCTTACCTAAGTCCAAGCAGCTAGGCATAGGTTGTATGCATTTCTCCATGGATTGAGCCTTTTTCTACTGTTACAGTATTCAAAGCACGTAGACCTGCTGAGACCAAGTCAAAAGACACATGAATATCAAACTTTTTGCACAATGGGAACACAGAGAAACTAATTTGCTTCAAATACCAAATTAAGTATGAGCATAGACAGCGCTATTAAGGGAATACAAGCGGATCAAATGGTCACTGAAAAAGGTTTCCTCGCAGCTCACTGGTCATTGCTTTACAGTACCGCTCCCCCAGACCTTGTCACTTTCCAGGGCCACATTGTTTTGTACAATTGTGAGCATAAAGTTGGATCTGATGAGAAGACATTTAAAATGTAAAAAACTCTTTTGCAGGACCATGACCTCTGACCCCCCTAAAGTTTTTGAGGTCTATTCACCATAGTCTATTAAATACTATGAGCATTTTAGCATCCCCGGGCTCAATTGTCCTATACATAGTTGAGCGTTTTTTTTTTTTTTTGGATGGCTATATTAAAGTATGTGTTTGATAAAAGCTTAAGAAATGTTAACATTTAGTTCTAACTTTTGAATGTCTGAAGCGTGTCCGCCTTTAGCTAAGAGGTAGCGACTTTCAGCCATGCGACCATGATGCTTTTTACGTCTGGCATTTCCATTTAAGCTTTAGCTAATATGTGAATAAATCTGCAAACCAGAATGGGTCATACACGTGTGTTTGCCACGGATATCATTTTCTGCAATGGAAAAATGCCATTAGATTTTGTCAAGGGTTAGTTATGTAACTTCAGGGTCGGCCTGAACACTACTTTATTTGCCTCCCCATACTGGAGGCTTTAATGCCGCCTATCACTATGAGTATGATGTATGAAGCTAAAACTATGTGTCATTATTTATATAGTTGCTAATGTGTGTGCAATGTGCATTTGGTAAAAACAACATTCCCTTGGGAGTAAATTAGTTAGAGTGTAAATTATAATATCAGTACTGTGCATCACCGTGCCTTTCTGACTCCGTAAACTATGTTTGAGGTTCGGAAAAAACTGTGTACACACTGAGATCTTCAGTGTGAAACGACTTCTGAGTGCACTTAGTCGGCACATTGAAGATACTACCTTGTGCTTGTAAGTCGTTGGTAAATTGTTGGACCATTTCGGATCCAGTGTGGGCAGGAAAAGCACTTAAACACCTCATTAAAACATTTACCATTGGAGTTGTTGGCACACAGTAGAAGTACTGGAAAATTCCCCGTAGGGCATATTTAAGTGAAACTTTTCTACCATTGCTAACACAGTCTGACTGTAGAGCAAAATCTACTGGATGTAATTTGTTAAATAAATTCAATTGTGTGTGTGTGTGTGTGTGTGTGTGTGTGTGTGTGTGTGTGTGTGTGTGTGTGTGTGTGTGTGTGTGTGTGTGTGTGTGTGTGTGTGTGTGTGTGTGTGTGTGTGTGTGTGTGTGTGTGTGTGTGTGTGTGTGTGTGTGTGTGTGTGTGTGTGTGTGTGTTGTAAATCTGTCTGCCTCCGCTAACTGAGTCGCAGTGCAGAGCCAAATCAGATAGATAAAATTGAACGCCAAAATGTGTGTATGACTCTGAGACTTTGAGTCTTCGAGAGCCACCAACAATATCTATCCACATGTATAGAAATGGAATAAAATTACCATGACATTGAATGTGTGATTGCATTTGCCTCATATATACTCTACCAGTACTTATTACCCTGCTGTAGATGCAAACATGATGTATTGCATTTTAAAGATGTTTTCATGAAATGTTGTGTGTGTGTGTTTCCCAGTCCAGTGCCACGCACACTGCCTGTCGTGCTCGGGGACTGCGGATCATTGTGAAAGCTGCAGGGACCCGAAGGCCTTCCTTCATCTTGGCCGCTGTCTGTCCGTCTGCCCAGCCGGCTACTTCTCTGAGGGACGAGTGTGTGAAGGTAAGGCGCTCTTTTGAAAAACTAAAAACTAAAATACCTACTCAAAACATTGACTTACCTTGGAATGATCTCCTTTCAAACACAGTTAGAAAAGTGCTTTTTGCATATAAACAGAACACATTTAAATGCAACAAATGAAATGAACTTAAAACATTATAAAACACAGAGAGTGAAACAAAGTAATTAAACAATAAAATCAATCTTACCAAAGTAAAAGTACTTTGCATCAAAATGTACTTGTGAAAGCAAAAGCACATTTATGTGAAATTACTGGATTATGATTATAGATGCATTTATGTGTTCATCGCGGTTATCAGAGCTAGTGATTGTCCAACTAATTTGAATTACTTTTTATACTATTGCTGGATATCTTAACCTATCATTTTATTTCAAAGATTTTTTCCAGGTTGATTTCTATTTTGTATAAGCTAATAATCTGAATCTGTAAAGTAATGTACAATAATCGCATAATAGGATGTTGATAAATAAATAATTTGGAAGGCAGGTCACAGTAGACCAAAGTTTGTCCCCTCTCCCTTCCCTTACAAAAATATTGTCGCTACATGCGGCGTGTTGATTGGTCGGATCCTCACTACTCGTCACAGGGACAGTGCTAGCTTCCTGTTCTGCGCCCAAGCATGTTTCTGCAACCCAACAACACTTGCCTTTACTGATTATGTCACTGCCAAAGTTAAAGGGGAAATATAATGCTAATTTGTAGGTTTCCAGGTCTTCCAAATCGCTGCTTTGTCATTGCAGCTGGGGAATAACTGTAATAGCTCCATTATCTATCTATCTATCTATCTATCTATCTATCTATCTATCTATCTATCTATCTATCTATCTATCTATCTATCTTCCATCCGTTCTTTCATCTATCCATCCGTCCATCCATCCATCCATCCATCCATCCATCCATCCACACTTTGTCTAAGTGTGTGCGCTTGTTTTGAGCACCCAGAGCCAAGCACCTTGACCGAGCTCTGACCCGCGACAGCCGTAATCGCTTTAGTATTTTCACTGCATTGAATCCCTACCATCCCATTGACCCGTTCTCCTAGAGGCAGACATGTACTGCTCACAGCTATCATGAAGCCGTAAACACCTCACACCCCATCGCCGCAAAGCTATCAGGCCCAGATAAAGGTATTAACTTTAAAGTCTAGCGGCTAATGCTAGCAGCTGCATCTTTAACGGCGTGTGCCTTTGAGAAAGATAGAGAGATACTTGTGTCCTAAATGAGTCGATTGTGTTTAACTGTTGAATTTATTCAACCGGGAAGGTCCTTCACTGAGATTATAAATGTCTTACAACAAGCAAAGACAGCAGCAGCACAAGAATACAGAAGTCACCAAAAAGATGATGCCAATTTAGAGGGGACTAAATATGAAAATGACTACATTTGGGTTTTTCAAGTGCCTAACAAAGCCAAACATAAATGTCTGCAAACATGTGTCTCCTCTTCCTATGTCACATCATGCAGATGTACTAAAATATGTCTGCAATTTTGAAAAATCAATAAATGACTTAATAATAATAATTAACCTTTAGAAGTAACCATTTTGTGATGTTAGCATAACATAGCATAACAAATGCAACATGTATTATCGATCCTTTTCTATTTGAAAGAGTTCAATAATAAAAACACAAGGCAAGTGGTAACATGTATTCATGTGTAACTCATACAAAGGAACATTTTATACTTGACAGCTTTTAGTATTCTTCACTTCTTAAAGAATATCAAGTTATTCAAAACATATAAATAGGATGTCACGTGGGTAGGTTAATAACGGTCATGGTATCTTACCTTGTTCTGAGGAATCAAAAAAACAACTATGAATTATCTGATTTTTTTTAAGAAAATCTATTTTCAAAGATGCATTTTTCTATTTGAATAATGTTGCTTATTAGCTGTGCATTCATCCAATCATGCACCAGAAGTCTAAAAAACGCTCCACTTTCCTCCATTAATCCCACACAGCCTAAAACCCAATTTTTCGTGCATGTGGGTGATGAAAACAAAGCTGCGCGTCTGAACTTGCATTGTTGATAAGACCCCTCTCTTGTCGCCCCTTCTCCTCATTTCCCATCAACATCTCTTTTCATATTTTCCGACATCTCTTAAGCCTTGAGTCTATCGATCTCACAATCTCTTTTTTTTTCTAATCCGTTCTTGTCCTTCTCCCCATCGTCCTCATCTTCCCCCTGATCGGGATCTTTATTTGCTCTGTTGTCACTCCTGCTATCTCTGCGCGAGTGGGAGTCAGGAAGGTTTGAGGGGATTTCGTTTTCATTCCGCAATTTTGAGTTTTCTCATTAAATAACAGTTGAAGTCCCCTCATATGCCTTTTCTCTCCAATTCCTTCTGCACCGGTTCCATTATTATGCTTATATAGACGTCTACAGAGTGTGTGGATGATTTATTTGCTATGTGTTAGAGTGATGCTTTAACCAAATTAGTCTTAGACGTTTTTCATAAGTTTTTCAAGTTTTAGATAACTCTGCTTTGGGGTGATACAAATGAATAAATCAATAAAAAGTTGATTTACTCTAGAGTCTAGGGTTTTGTTGCTAACAGCATTCGGGGCTGCTTTTGTAGGTGCAGACCCAACATATACAATCCAATTTTGAAAAAGCAAAAAGTTTAACCATGCAAAACTGTGAACAACTTCTTTATAGGTTTATATTATGTTGAATGCAGCATTGACCAAATCATTATGATTCATTCATATTTATTCATGCTTCTCACTGGCCCCCAAAATCATTTTTTGTGAATTGATGGGAAAAGAATCGAGGCCTTAAAAGTAAAAAAAAAAAACAGACATAAAGAGACATGGAATTTGAATTTATATATTTTGTGCAAACATAGAAATTTAAGTTATTTTTCATTTGTTTTACTTAACTTTAGTTTGCTGTCTAAAACCAGAGCCCAGTCTGCTCTGATTGGTTGGATTGTCGGCTCTGCTAGGTCAACTGCTTAGAGATGTCCCGCCCCTTAGCCTATCGCGTACAATATGTCGGAGTGCTAGCCAATAGAAGGGCAATTGCTACATAGTGATGCCATTATCTTACGGAAGAAAACAAAGGAATCAAATGGATGTTGTGTGAGTAACTCCTTCTGGAAGTAACACAGAGATGATAGCCTTTGCAGACCATTTACATGCACAAAAAACTATATAACACACTACAGGAAAGGGAAACCCCATTATATGGCCCCCAATGGTTTCCTCTGGGACATCCCAGCTAGAGCAACATGAGTTTAAACTCCCCGACATGAATGTACAGGGTTTCCCTCTGATGACCTGCACATCAAGGTTCTCTGGTTTATTCGCCTTCCACTATGAGATATAATAGGCAGTTTAATAAATGCTCAGATAAGAAGACAAAATAAATGTTTTTGAAGTGACTGACACTCAGAATCCTCTCTCCCTCCTCTCCCTCCTCCTCCTCCTCATCCTCCACAGCCTGCCAGTCATCCTGCACCACCTGTTCCAGCAGGTGGGACTGCCAGTCCTGCGGCCCCCAGCAGCCCCTGCTCAGCGCTGATAGCGGCGAGTGCCTGGCTTCCTGTCCTCCGGGTTCCTACCAGCAGGACAACACACACTGTCGCCGTGAGTATATAACACCTTTGTGTGACCTATGATAACACTTGGAGGTCATTATGTAGATTTGGCTCGGATTCAAACTGAGAAGGTCACACTAGGAAAGACGCAATTCCAGAATAACTTTTATTTAAACATTATTTATACAGGCAGTCTCATTGAGATCAAGAGAGACCTAAGAAATGTATCTGAAACAACACATTATATAACATTACTTTAACTTCAGCCAAAGCTTTTATCCAGTAAATTACAGTGCAAAAAAACCTGAAGATACAAACTCAGAACAGCAAGAAAGCAGCAGATACATTCGCTTTAAACAACCCAACCCATTGTAAGTGCTGGGGAATTACTTTCATACTGTATAAGCTTATATTTTAAGTACTTCATTTTTTGTGTTAGGTATAACAGCCAAGGTGTAGTTGAAACAGGTGGGTGTTTTGTCTGTGAGGGAAGATCAGCAGTCTTGATATCTATGATCTTGATATCAGAATATCATATTTCATGAATCTTGTTCCACCTTTTTGAGCCAAGATAGCAAACAGGAGGGTTTTTGTTCAGGGCTACCTATGTCCGGCACACGTGTTGAAATCTCCCAGTGGAACACAAGACTTTATTTTAAGCCTTAAAGGTCCCATTTTATATTGTTTTTCATCAATATATTATAGGTCTCAGATGTATACAAAACATGTCTCTGAAGTACTTTGCTCGAAATACCAAACAGATCATTGTAGCATCCCATAATCCCCTCTGTTTCAGCCCTGTTTCAAAAGGGCTGATTCTCTGTCTGTTACTTTAGATGAAAATAAGGAGCCCCTCCCCACACCCCTCTGAGAGATATTTGGTTAGAAAGAACACAATGGTGCTCTAGGAGGAGATTCAGGTGATAAGGTGGGGGGGTTACCTTGGTTGGTGATTGGCTAATGGTTACACAAGCCAAAAAAACGTTATGACATCATAAAGCGGCCAAAATCTGATCAGCTCATTTTCAGACAGGTTTTTATATAAATGGATCAGGACAAAAAGTGAGCGAATCTTTTTCCTGAAACTTTCAGAATCTCTTTACACAGAGAGGACACATGTTTATGTAGAAGAGACATGAACAAGTGGATTTTGCATAATATGTGACCTTTAACCTCTTAAGCACGGCGGTCCCCCCATTGGACCCCTCCCACCGTTTTTTTTCGAGATAATGTCTCAGGGCTTCTTAACATTTATGAAACTATTAATGTGTAGCACCAGATTAACGGGAAGAATCTCAGCTAACTGAAGATATGAACCATTTTTACCAAAACAAAACACAAGTCTCATAAGAAGGGTCTAAATGACCCCTGAGCGAAACAATTCTAATGCACTGCGGCACACAATTCAAGATAAAAATACCCTTATTACTTATCGTAGCTGCACATACAATATAGCCGATTAAAGCTGAGACTCCACTGATTATTTAGGTATAGTATCATCACTGAGCGATCCGAACTTGCGACAGGGGAAGCAAACACAGACATCACAACACGTACCTTTACGGAGCTTTTACGGCAGATCGTCTCACCGTAGCTGTAAATTAGGTCAAAAGACATGTTCAATGGCATTAAAACGAAAAAAAAAAAATGCTATAACTGTTGATCCATAGGTTGATAATGTACCTGTGCTTTTGAAGAAATTATTTATAATCCATAATTCCATTTTTTATGTAAAAATCGGAGCGGAAAAGTTAGCTGCTAATGGTAGCCACCAGAGTGTATGCAGCTTCCGGTTTTGGTAACGCGTCACTCTCGCTCCTTATTTGTTAACGTTTTGGTGTGTATATAACTTTCCCTCGATTCCATTGGCTCTAGCGGTTATAAAGAGATTTCATTCATCAAAATCGACCAAGGGGGGCCAGAGATAGGTCAAATCCACCCAAATGACCCCAGAAGTGGGTTTTTTTGGCAAAATCTCTCTAAAAAGGTCAAATTTCACTTGTTTTGCATCAATCTTGATACAGGGTACTTATTATATGTTGTACTTTGGATTCCTAAAGCTTTTAGTCTACTAACCCATCATCCAAGGGTAGTTTTCACTATAAGTAAAAAATAATTTTTGGACGGACACTATAATTTACAGTTTTTTACTATGTAAAATCTGAATTTTCTTTAAAATAAAAAACATCTATATTGATTCTGACTTTTCTACATCCAACTCACAGGTTTATCATTACATTGAGAAAAAAGATTATTAATTTAAGGGAAGATATGGTCATTTGTTCTGGGAATGTCATTTTCGAGCCTGAGACCTGAAAAACAGGCTCAGGGCTTAAGAGGTTAAACCATTCTCCGGACATTAGTGAGTAAATTAGTTGGCCATGTGTTGTTTCTGCAAGGGTGTCCATCCAAACGGAGAGTGGAAACCTATTATGAGTCCAAAATGTGTTATTTTGGATAAAGTGTAATGCTCTATAATACACAGCTATAATGTCGGTGACAATATACAATATCTCCGACGGCCATCAACATTTGTATGACTCAGCAAGAGTAGTGGGAGTGGCATCTGGAGTTGTATAGGCAGGGTAGTCAGTAGTTCTGAGGCAGTCTAGCTAGTGTTTAATTTCTCTGGAAGATTTGCTAAATTAAGGTTGAGATGAGAGGGATAAGGTTTGTTCGGTTGGTTCATGATAGTTTGAGAGTTACATTCACATTATTAACTAAATTGGCTCTCTTCAGACACTACTATATATCTAACCACTAAAGGAAATCTATTTTCCATCTTTAAAGATTTAAGGACACATGTTTGATGATTTCATTTTGGAAAGAAAAAACGTTGTCTTAGAAAATATATGTATAACGAACTTCATACGATCTGAAATATTTTACATCAAATGCTGGATTTTTCTCTTTTTTTATAAAAGGAAGTCCTTCTTTTGTCTTTCAAGCTGTCCTCTCTTGAATATTTTACGATCCTTTGTTTTCTCCAATTCTTTCTATTGTTGTTATCTAATCCCATCGCATTCTGACATCTGAAAGATATAAATATCATCTTCCTGCCAACCACTTTCAGTTCAAACTATTGGCTTTGGGGCAGAAAGTGCCTTCACAGTCCACAGTTGGTAAATCGCAATCTCATATTCTCTCTGTGTCTTGTTTCCCGAGGATTGTTTCAGGATAAGTTGAGTGGATTTTGTAACTGAATATTTTAAGATGTGACGTAAGTAGGCACATTCTCTGGGGGTCCGAGTATTACAGTGTTGTGGCTTTGCTGACTATAGGTTCTAGGAAGTCTGTTTTATTGCATTCTAGCTGGACTATTGCTGGACTTATCTTCCCTGCAGAATTGTGTGGAAAAGTTCAATGAAGTTATGTTTTGAAGTGGTTTGTTTGTACCTTTCTTCCAATATGTGGCTCTCTCCTCCCTGCTCTCCCGATTATTGTCTGCACACATAGTCTTTCAAAAGAACATTATAAAAACCAATTTGCACAAAAAAAGAGAAGAACATTTAATGGACTTGGAAATTCCAGAGTCTTAAATTGGCTTTTGGCTTAAGTTTGCCGTTTTATTGTTATTTCACTCAAGTGAAGCCGGGTGTGTTTCAACATAATTACTGCTGCAATAAGCTACACTCTCTGCCTCCTGTCAATCACCCAACACCCACAGGACAACAACAGAAAGTCTCTTTTACTAATAAAGAAAATAGCTTATATTGTCAAATCCCTCTGTTATTGTCTTTAGGTTGTCTTATGGTCCTGTCTAATTTCCACTAGTTCAAGTGAAGGCAATACAATCAGAAGCCAAACATTCATCCATACTTTGGAGAACGGGGGTTTACTTGCAAGGGGAAGAACAAAATATCATCTTCATCTGATTCAAAATATTTCATCTTACAAAAATGACTCATTTTTGTCTTGCTCTCCTCTGAATGCACCTGTTCCTTTGTTTGTGTACAGAACATTTTTGCCCTTCTGAAATGTCTATTGTGTCAGGACTGGCAACATGGCAGACTGCACAATAGACACCGACCAATCAGGGCTTTAAGACTTGCGTAGTGCACAGAGGTGATGGGTAGGCAGGTGCAAGGGACCGATCTTTCTAGTTCCATCACCAAAAACATTCTTCATCTTTTGATTTGACATTTTTATAATTGTCTGGAGAACAAAACTCCTGCGTTGAGTCATCTTCATAAAAAACTTGATAGAAGTTGGCAACCCAGGTGAGGGAAGAAAAAAGAATTCTGGCATCATGCTGCGTCGATTCTCTTCTACAATACACACAAAACAAGAGTAGTTTTGATTACCAAAGCCACACATGTCTCTCAGGCTGTTAGTGTATTCTCTGGATCTTGCTTTGAACGGGAAAATGCCAAACATTGAACCATACTGCAGTAGGGATGGTTACATGAAAAGACGGATTGTGTTTAGGCATAATGTGTTTAAACAACCTCTGATATGTCCAAATGACCAATCAGAATTGAGTATTCAACTAAGCTGTGTAATAATGCAGTTTAACCTATTTCCTAGTTAGTCAATTAGTCTTGCTTTCTGAGGATCCATTTGGTAGTTTGGCCGGAAAACATTTTAGTGTTTGAAAGGAAACTAACATGATAACCTCACTTAAGCTGAGTCACAGACACAATTTTCAATCTTCAGTTTATGAAGACACATGCATTGTTGTTTTATAACCTACCAAGGCTCTCTGCTGTCTTAACAGTGAAATAAAGCAAGACAGGAGTTTAGATCCCCCTGTACACGGTGCTTAATGCAGGATAAATACACGACAAGGGACGTCTACATTGACTGTTACTCAACCCAATCTACTTTAAAGGTCTCCCAGCGCTCGAAAGCCCGGACCGATAAATAAAACCTGTGGCTCAGTGAGCTAAACCCCTGTGGGCATGCTAATACACTCTGAACGGTTTAGCCAAGCGCCTCCATCAAGTGAGGAAGACCTGCTGTGACTCCTGGGGATGATGGGTAGAAATAGAAAGTAGAGAGAGGAGAGTGGGAGGGAGAGCAGAGAGTAACCACAGCCGGGTTCTGCAG